CAACAAGTTACATTTCCAACAAAAATTTTAAAACTCAAGATGACTTTCCGACGATAACATCGGACGGAAAGCTCCGCCATGTTTATTAAGTGTCATGGCCTTCTCCCTCTCGGAGGTCACAGCTCTCCCCAGTCTTATAAAGTTATTCTCGTCTGCATTTCCAGTACCTTACATTTCTCAAAATTACTGGAAAGCATACACGGTTAGAGTCACATATAAGAGCCAAAAGACATGGTTAACAGTTACATACAAATAGGGATCAATTAGAAATATATGGTGACTGAACCAAAATGTTGCCAAATGGTTGCCAAGTTTGGCGACTTCTCGCCAAATGTGGCAACAAAAACAAGTCACCGAAACCATTATCAGCTTTGCAATATTCACCAGTTTAGCGAGATAGCCATTTATCTCAATATTAAATAAATTTGTCCCTGTTATGTTATTTTTACAGCAGTTTATAAAATTCATAACAATATCAACAAAATTTCCTGCAACTAAAAATGCATATATACATATACTCTTCAAATGTATTACACAGCATAGAAATCAATTTAAATCAAAGGCTACCTGTTTAAAGAATGGTTTTCAGAACTGGTCTTCAAAGTAAGAAAAAAACACTTAGGTTTGAAAATACCATTAACCCTTTGAGGCACAATGCGTCCGTTCCGGACACACCTAAAATTTCCTTCTGTACGCACAGAAAAATTGAATGAAAAAGGATTTATAGGTTACTATATGTTACTCTGAACCTTCTTTACTTATAGTTGATGGCAGCTCAACACAAACTAATCCATATATTTTAGCCATGTTTAGTTTTTTTAAGACTCTCATTTTTCAAAGAAATCTTCCAGATTTTTTTTAGGGTATAAAAGGAATTGTTTGAAAAGAAATTTCTATGTTATTTTTTTGGCTGTATGCTAATTTCCTTATTCTATATTAGTTTTAAATTTTTACCTTGAAATCTTGCCTAAAATCAAACAGCGAACCCTAGGTGTACCCAGATTGGTCTAACTGATAATCTAGGACAAATGAGAGTCTGTATTCTTTGTTTCTCCGCATGTCATCGGTCAGTTCATTGACGACAATGCCCGTTTCAGCACTCTTTTCGAAGCTCTATTCAATCAGTGTGCCACTTTGGACACACCCACAGAATTAAAACGATAAATGCTATCTTCACAAAATTTTACATGTGTACTCCTCTAGGCCTAATTAGACTGCCTACCTTTTTTTTTATCAAAACTCCGTCTTTAAAAAGTTGCGTGCCAGAAAGGGTTAAAAGCAATACTAGTCTTCAAAATACACAAGTTCATACACATGAATTAGAATGTGAAGAAGACCAAGATATAAAAATTTTGTTCCTGCTTCCTAATGTTACAAGCTTAATCCAACCTAACGACAAGATTATACAGAAAGCTCTAAGATATATTAAAAATATTTTAAGTACAAAACGTAAGTAAAAAGAGGTACAAACGTCTCTCTAAAATTTCAGGCAAACTGGAAAATTAAAATGGATGTTAATGCTCTTAAGGCACACATTAAAAACATACACATGTTGGCTAAAACCTATAAAAAAATGAAGCTACCTTTGTCAAATGTTTTGCCAAAAGTAAAAAAGCAATTAAAAAATAAAAGAGACAATTATGCAGCTGAAAACAATACCAAGTGGTTGAAGAGGGTAAAAATTATTATTCTATTCATTTATTTGTGAAGAACTTATTGAATATTACAAGTTCATTGAAAAAAGAAATGGTTAACTGTTGGCAATGAGCAAAAAACATTTATTCTCAAGCAATGGCAGAGTCAATCAAGCAGTTATTAGTCAAGGTCAAAAATTAAAAGAAGATATGCAGAAAGGAAAAGAAGAGTTAACCATGATGGACTCAAATTAATGACACCATACATCGAGTAGCAGAAAATATTTGGTTGTAACGAAAGTTTTTTGCAAAACACGTTCTTAATAAAGTCAGAAATAAAAGCATGAAAGCAGTACCTTTAGTGTGGGTAGTAATTACAACTCATATCTGTGATTTTCTGCCAACATTTTGGTAGTTTTTCAAAACCTTTCACCCCAGAAACTTCGTCACTGTGAGTCCAAACACAGATCAACCCCAATTCAGACATCCTGTGCAAAATGGAAGATAGCACTAGTACGATGCAGCTCCAGGTGTGAAAAAAGGTAGAAGTCTGAAGGATATCAGGGCTATATGTGGTGGGTATGGCAAAAGATCCCATTCAAGTCTGTACAAAGTACAGCTGGTGAATGCAGATATATGGTATCTTGCATTATCTTGATGGAGCATCACCTTTTTGCATGGGAACTCAGTTCAATGTTTTTCCTTGTACACCTTACTGTCAAAGGTTTCACCTTGTTCCAGATATTCTTTGTGGATAATTACTATGGCAATCACACCAGATACAAAGCATGAGCTTTCCGTTAGACAAATCGCAACTTCACGATGCCCAAACAAGTCTGCCCTTATCTGCTTGAGTCAGCTCATGTGGCATCTAGTGACTGAGTTTGTATGTCAAGTTTATGCAATGCATAGCGCGACTAATGGATATGGCACTAACGTTTGTCTCCTTAGCAAGCTCTTGAGTGGTTGAATACTGATCTTCTTCCACAAATTCCCGCAGGTGGGCCTCATCAACATCAACAATATTAGCCGGCCAGAGCACTCTGCTTCTTGAATGCCGTAGTTCTTCTTTTTGAACTTTTGGTACCAAACCTTTATAGTGACATATGATAAAATATTAGTACCTAAAGCTGTACATAAGGTTTGGTAACATTTTGTAGCTGAGTTTTTGCAACTGCAACAGAACTGGAAGCAAATAATGGTTCTAATCTGGTAGTGTGATAGTTCCATTTCAGATACCTTCTATCTAATGATAATGGGATTTTTTTTTTTTTTTTTTTTTTTTTTTTTTTTTTACATATTTCGCAACACAGTGTTCTAAAGCAAATCTCTTTCTTTCAAATGCCAAAAATTGTTTGAAAAGATATGATTAAACAAGGCAGTGTGAACTGTTTGCGCAGATGGTATTTGCAGTGGTGGGCATATTGACTGCACTTAATCTACTGTTTCTGAACAATGGTGTAATGTTGCTTTTAAAAACACAATGAGTGAAAGAAAAAGAAAATTGTTGATTATTATTATTATTTAAATGCTGTTTTAACAGGCACTGGTTCAATTTGCCATCCATTTAGCTGACTACTCAGTTGAAGAAGGGCTCAAATAGCATTTTTGTATACCGTATAGCAAAATAGCAATTAGCATACCGTATGTTCAGGAATAGCATATGCAGGTTTCTTTGATAATTTTAATTTGAATTTTAATTCATGTCTTAGTGGAAACAAAACAATATAGGCCAAGTAAATGCAGCTTGGCAAGCATAAATTACTTCTTTTTGATTCTACAGTAACCCCAGAAAATATATTATATGATGCTACTATACCCTCTCAAATAATAAATCCTAGCCAGGGGATTTGCAGAGGATATACTGATACTTTTACCAAACTTTTACCCTCTGAATGGTTTTTGCCGAACTTGGCTTTTTAATCATAGCATTGGCAGCAGCACTGAAAAAAATGTACACAGAATTGATGGCCGCTGGAAATCACACACTGATACCAACTGGTCACATCAAGAAGCCCATAACTCAAATCTGTGGATAAATCAAAGCCGCTTGGGATGAAATTTCACAAAAACTTGATGTTACGAGCTTCAAAAAGTGTGGAATATCAAATAGCATGAACAGAAGTGAGGATTAAGTAGTGTGGGATGATGAGGAAGAAGAGAATGCTGGCAGTTCGGAAAGCATCAGCGAAGACAGCAGCGCAGAAGGTGAGGAAGATTGACAATCTACATATTGTATTTCCAGGCTAAAAAAGTGAGAAGTGCCATGGTGTGGTAAGTTATCTGCCTTTGTTAGATTACCGGTAGATTTTAAAGGATCACTTGGGATTTTTAAATCCAAATTTAGAGCAGTGATTTTGTAGACTGAAGCTACTGTTTAACGAATAAAATTTTACATACGTACTTAGATTAGCAGTTTTTTCTTTCTGCCGTAGAATTTAATTCCGCTAGTCAAAATCCTGAAAAAAGTTTTTTTTCAGTAAGAAGCTTTCACTGAGCTAGATGAAAATATGCGAGCCTTTTTTTTTTAAGGGGCCTTTGTCCCTGAAGGACTACAGTTTTTGTTCTGCGATTTTGTGTTGAAAGCTTTAAAAGGCTGTATCACTTTTCAAATCATTGCCACCAAATACTATCGCCCTGTATTATATTTGAAGAAATTAAATAATGAAGAATCTGCATAAAAGTATGTATGTTTCTCACATTGTGATAAAACAATTTACCTAGAGCCATCCAATTTTGAACGACGTAATCCTACTGCAAATATGGGCATCTGAAAGCCCAAATTTGAAATTTAGAATTTGTTTCATTATCGATTTCATATTTTGTAAAACTTTAACGAATTTTTTATTAACAAACTCAATGATTTAAAAGTGAGCAATGGCAACACTCAAGGGGGAACAAAAAACTTTTTATCTCCAGCACGTGGAACTGTGTATCGGAAATTCTAAAGATATGCTCATTTTAAAATTGCTTTGCGACATTGCTGTTGAACTGAATTTCCTGCATTTCACATAACTTAGTTTAACTGGCCATTTTGTCATTTATCAAGTGGAGAATATGTTGGTGGAGGTTGGTTAAGAGAGTAACAATTATATTTTCATGTGACTTAATATCAACTGCAAATCTAATAGTACAAACTTACAGAAATAATAATAATAAAAAAAAGCAGTTAAGACAGAAACAAGCAGTCGAATTTCAGAATGAAGTTGAAAAAAAAATTTTTTTCAGTAGTCAAAAATTTGATTTATCAAGAAAAATAACATTGATTTAAAATTCACCAACTTGATATTCAGTTCAATCTAAAAATAAAAGTAATTAATAAAAATTCTACTCTACTTATTACTAATACCTAAAAGCATAAAATACCTTTTCATGACATTCATTTAAGCCTTTTAGTGTTGCTAATATTTCCTTCTGTAAGCTTACTGCTCTTTTTTTCTGTAAATTAAGTTAATAAATATTAAAGTATGAAAAACTGGCTAAAATTCTGGAAAAAAATTAAATAATTTAACATCACTACAGTTAAAAGTCAATAATTTGGCATTCTTAAAATTTTTATAAAATACACTTAAATAATTTTTGCTAATGTCTTTATCTTTAATGCATAACAGAATGAAAACAGAATTTAACAGCAAGTACCATTTAATTCAATACGAATAGTTTTGGACATAATTTCTCCACTAATTAATTTCCTTCATTAAATTCAAAGAGTCAAATTTCACACAAAACCACCAATAACTTATACTTTGAAATGGCCTTTCCATTGGGCTAAAGCATATTTCAATTTCCCTAGTTAAACAATTAATGATTATAATAAGCATTACCATATTAAGGATACTACACTGAAGTGCTACTGAATTAGAGATAGCAAGTCAAGAACGAGCTGCGCTTCCTCTGGCCTTAATAATGGCTGCCACACGACGAGGCACAGATTCAAATTGTCCATAATTCAGAAAGAGTCGCTAGTGTTGTGCGGTATGCTTTCACACCTTTCTTCAAAACATTCGAAACATGTTCAGTAGGATTTATTTTAAGTTATTTTAGTAGGGCTTCTAGGTAGCTAATTCATGATAGAGAATTCAGAGAAATGCTCATTCAAGCAGGCAATAGCCAACCGGGACCTGTGAGAGGTGAAGATATCTTGCTGAAATACTCCATTTTCATGTGAATGACAGAATAGCATAAATGGATAAAGATGATCACCAAGGAACTCTACGCACTGAATCATACTGAAAGTGGTTGGTAGTACCAATGATCCGAGACACTGCCAAGAGAAAACACCCCAGGCCATGACTGAACCACCATGGCCTTCAACAGTTCCATTCTGGCATGCAAGATCCATGGACTCATGAGCCTCACGCTATATTCTTAGCCTCCCATCAGTGTTAAATAGTCAAACTTGAGTTTCATCACTCCATGCTACTCATTTCTAATCGTCTCTGTAATAAGTCCATTCTCTGCGTTCTCCTGCCCAGGCAAGATGTGCAGCTCTATGGCATGCATTGAGCAATGGTACTCTCGTGGGTCTATGGCTCCCGAAGCCCATATGGCGAAGCGAACTTTGCACAATCCTTTTACTGACTATACGACTAGCGCTCTGATTCAACTGGGTGGTAATTTTAATCTAAAGTTTGTCTTCGCTGGCTATGTACAACACGGCTAAGCCGTTTCACAGCACCCTTGTTCAAGACTAGTTGTCCTTTACAGTTTGCCTAATCGCTAGTTTTTCTCCCAACCATCCGTGTATTCTCAGTCATGTCTTAATTCAGAAGTATACTTAATTCCGCTAGTCGAAATCCTGAAAAAAAATCTTTTTTTCAGATTTTTTTTCAAAAAAGATTTTTTTTCAGTAAGAAGTGTATTCTCAGTCAAGTCTTAATTCAGAAGTATACTTTTGACCTCATCGACCTTGAAAATCCTAACCTTCTGGTGAGTTCAGAAATTGAATGGCTCATGCGCCGAGTACCTACTGTCTATCTTCAATCGAAGTTGTTTAAATTAGAAATTTTAGCGATATTGGCAATTGAAATGACTGATTAACAACAACCATAGTACTACCTATATGTGCAGTTAACACAACGCCCTCACATGAGCATAAATACGGCACAGCACTACAAAATTTGCATAGCCAGGTCTATCTCTAATTCAGTGGCACTTCAGTATACTACAATATCAAAGCAACTAATAAAATAGAATACTTAGAAAGTTAAATCTTTATATTATTAAATTAATTTTAACTAGCATTCTGATCTACATTTCTTAATTGCATTAACATAAGTTACTTATATAAATTATTAGTGGTGAATAAAAGAAGGGCATAAATATTAATTTAGATTACTATTTAATTTCTACTGACATGAGATCAATACAACACAATTGATTTTAAGATTATAGTTTTGACATTAAAAATGTTTAAAGCAGACTCCTTGTAAAATTACTCATGCATTATGTAATCATAGGTCAATACTGCCTATAATCTGGAATCTGGCAAATGTTGCTATTGCCCAAAACATAGGATCCTTAATTTATCTTACATGCAGCCTCACGAAAAACATCAGCAGCCAATCAGTCCTCAGAGTATTTTTTCTATTTGGCAAAACATATCTTTAAATTTTTAATTTATTTTTTTAATTTAATCAATCTGCAATTACTAAACAAATTGAATAATTTAACAAGTGATAATGGATATCTTAATAATTAAAATTTTTTATCTTACTTTTGTTAATATACCAAACAGATATAATATAAAATAAATTAATTTATTATGTATCTAATAAATAATTTTTACAAATATTTACTGCATGATTACAATTAATAAAAATGTTTTTTTAATTTCAGGTTATATGTGCCTATGTACAGAAATTTTGTTATTGAATTTCTTATTGTCTGCCCAAAACAAGCAAAATGGATGCAGGAACTGTAAAAATCTAAATAAAAGAATTTTCAGAGCCATAACTTCATGTGTAAAATTTGTAATGATCAGCAGTGTTGATCCATATCAAGTTTCCTTATTGCAGACAAATATTAAACCTTTTCATTTTTCTTTTTCTTATGATTATTATTTTAAGAAAATGTAACAGCTAATGCTAAATATAATTACAATAAATTATGTAATAATAATAATGCTCGAATGTAATAAATGAAAAAAAAAACAAACCATGTTATTTATTTGAGTCTTAAGTTGCTCACACTCAATTATAACAGCATTTTCTTGTTCTTTCACAGCATTTTCTCTTTCTAAAATTCTATTTTTTACAGCCACCTGTTCCTTTCTTTGTAATCTCAGTTTTGTAAACTCTTCTCTAATTAAACTGTATTCCTTTAAAATGAGAAAAATGTTAAAAAGACAAACATAGAGAAATAAAACACATGAAATTACCAAAATATGAATTAAAACACTTTAAAAATTATGAAGTTATACTTTTCTCAGAAAAATCATATTTTCAAGTAATCACTTATATTAAAAAATTAAATAAATTTGGTATGTAAAAATGTGTTTTTAAAATTTATTTTATATATAGAAAATATATTACATGCCAAGAAAGCATCCCCACATCCCAAGATAATTCGTAACAGTATAAAATTAGGATAATATTAAAAAATAAACCCAGGTATGTGAACATTGGAAATTGACATGCTATACTCAAATTTAAACGGAATTTGTAAAGTAAAATTTAACATTTGACATTTTCATTATGAAAATTTTTTTGTATTTGAAGAAACAACATTTATTATTAAAGATCAGTAGTTCCTCTGTCATGAAAATGTTTATTAACCCTCTGAGCAGCTTTATCCGGTCATGAAATTTTTTGTCACTTGTTATATATTAGGTTATAATTTAAGATATTTTGTTTTCTTACTTTCATTAATAATATAAATGCCATTTTGATGAATGTAAGTTTATGAAAATAGAGACTAAAATAGGTAAATATACGTATTTAGCTCATAAAGGCTCTTTAAATACAGGTCTTCCTGACACAGATCCAAAAATCCGGGCCACTTAGAGTGTTAAGCCTATCTGAGAAAAAACTGCATGCAAATGTATAAGCTTTTTTATGAATACAAGTAAAATTTAGTCCATGACAATTTTTTTCTAAAACATCTGTTATATGCAGCACAGCATATTACACTTGCATGTAGTTTAGAAAGCTCTTTTAATTCCCAAAAATTAAAAACTTTGAAATATTACAATCATAGTTGCTATCTTTGATGCAGTAAAAACTGGAAAGTTTTCTCGCCTCGCAATGACAAAATTTCAAAAGGACTCCAATATATTTTATTTAAACCTTGCAATGACCTTAATGGATCGCTTTGATCTAAAAGCCACTTAAGACATGACTTACGAACAAAAACATATTAACTTAATACATACTTTATTCACTATTCAAACTTTTATTTCCAGAAAATTGTATACCAGCAAAAAATAAAGTGGAAAGGAAAAGTTTTTATTTCTCCCCGTTTTTGAAGACAATAAAAATAAAACTTCCAAATAATATACATATAATTAAGTGGATATTTAAAATCTTTGAATGGTGTATTACTACACTACCTGCTGCTTTGTAAAATCCCTTTCACTCCAAACGTATTTGAATTAATTAAGCAGCTGAATTTAATAGACAGCGCTCTGTGCAGTAATAGCTGCCAACTTTAGAATTTGAAAAAGTAAGAGAAACAGGGAGGTTTTCTTGCAATGTAGCAGTGCTATTTCCAAGAAGCTCCAAGGTGGCTTAAAATCACTTTATAATGCATAATTCAAGTTATTAAACTACCGTATCTACCTGCGTATAAATCGATAATTTTAAGAAAAAAATCTTTGAAGTAGGGGGTTGACTTACTTGTGGAACTAAAACTTACTTGTGAAAATAAAAAAGATTTGCCACCGCCGATTGATGACACCAAAATTTTTATTTATTCTTTCCATTTTATTAGCGATAAGTTGCCTCCCAGGATTATTTTCAAGCAAAAAACGTTACCTAACAGCATTTCTGGCTGGCATTCTTGTTCATGCCCAGACAAATGGTTGGATGGACGACACCCTAACAACTGATTGGTTTCAAAACATATGGTGCAAAAAACCAGATGTGCTTTTGGGGAAACTTTCGCTTTTCATTAGTGGGATATGTTACAACTGCATCATTTAGAAGTTGTAAAAAAGCATGCATAGAGTTTCAAAAACAAAACTTTCTGTGATTCCAGGAGTGATCTGTGATCACAGAATCCATTGTACAACCACTGGATGTCAGCGTAAATAAGCTGTTCAAGGTAAATTGAGCTGAATGGATACAATCCAATTTGTCTACTAAAACCAAAGGTGGCAATATTAGAAAACTGGACATAATTTTAACTGCACAGTGAGTGAAAGAAGCTTGGGTCATGATTCCAGCTGAAATGATAATTAAATCATTCAAAAAGTGTTGTATTAAGTCCAATAGCTTGGATGGCACAGAAGATATTGCAATCTATGCAAGCGACGATAATGACACCAGCTTGTGATGAAGTGAGTGATGAAATTTATGACGACTCGCTAATGAATGCAAAAGAATTTTAGGTTTTATTTGCTGATTCTGGCTTTGAATAAGAATATGAAGGATTCGAATGAAATTCTTTGAAAATTTTTTACACATTTTGAAATTTTTCATGTGTTCAAATTGAAATAAACAAAAATTCGCTAAAGCGTGAGTGTAATTTTTATTAAGTACATCAGCATGCTGTTTCATCGGCAGCACCACTTGTGCGACAAATTTGTTTATCCGAATATTTTTCTCAAAAGTCGGGGAATCAACTTATATGCAGGTATATACAATATTTGTAACATAATTCTGATGTAAAATATTTCATTCTTTATTTAGATAATCTAAATTTTATGCTCTTCAGATAATTTAATTCTGTAACTTTCTTAAACTTTTAAGAAATTCAAAATAGGAAAGAAAAGCTTTTATTTGTCAAAGTACTCTTAAATATGATGAAAATAAAATTGACAATTAGTGTACATAATGTTTTTCAGGATAAATTTACTAATGTATCATATAATGAAATAAATGCAAATTTTAACTGATTAAACATTAGTTGAATCTTCATATAAAAATCTACATATGTCTGAAGTAGATTAAGACAACTCAAATAAAATCAAATTTTATATGAAAAAGGTCAATGGAATGTAATAAGGAGAACACAAATAAAGTTCAAATGACATAAAAATTTTAAAAGAAGCTATTCTGAAAATCCCTAGGGACGAGAAATACAATCTGCACGATTTAAAGTTTCATTCATTCAATATTTTATTGCTGGAAAACATTTTCCTTAAAAAAGACTGAAAAACCAGGAAATCTGGTGTTCTGTCAGAAGACCAGATCTCCTGACTTTTCAAGCAAAATAATAACAGCTAATTCAATAATGAATTCTAAAATAGTTAGTAAAATTATTAAAAATTATGCTGAAATTAAACTATTATACAATTTTGAAATATAATTTTTTATAAAAATATTTTTATAATTAGTCTTGATGAAATTTTGTCTCTTACACATAACTATTCTACCTGTGTTTGTTTCGTATCATTTAACAACAGTTTTTCAAATGTATTCTTAATTTTGCAAAACTGCTGGCAGCTGTTTTGATCAGCAACTTTCAGTTCAAGAGATTTTCTTATAATTTGTATCGCTTTCCTTGATTCGATTGATGATTGCATGTCATTCTTTTCTTCTGTACCATTTTCACTGTGTCAGTTTTTCTATAGGTTGTCTCAATTTTGTTGTGAATTGATACAAATTCTAAAAATAAATCTACATTAATTCCTGATGTCTGAAATTCAGGTATAGTTTGTGATTCCTCTGAGGCTTCTTCTACATATAAGCCAAACTTTCAAAAATAGTTTTTAGCTGATTTTAAGAGATTAACCCCCTACATTGATTATAATATGCATGACCTCTAGCAAAGACATCAACTTGCTTATCTCCTTTGAAATGCATTTTCATAAAATTCAGTACTGATCATCTTTTTTTTTTAACACCTTTCCTGTAATGACATTTAAAAGCTTTTATACGCTAATATTATAGAAATGTTAAAAGTTGTATCTGCAGGAAGAAACATTTATGTTCTTCAGAATTAGATCAGAAATATGTGTATAGCACAGTTGTGTAATTAATTAGTAAAGCTATTTTTTCATTTTTCGGTTTGCTATCCATTTCAAAAGAAAATCATTAAAATTCCACTCATCATCCATGAATTCTTGTTATTGTTTGAAGTAAATTCTAACTTGGTCAGAAATAAATTCTTGACTCCTTTCAAATATGGATGTTTTTTAATTTTGTCGATAACTAGCGCTGTGTTCTTAGTTCTTAAGTCCAGGTCAGCACACAGTCTTGCAGGACAATAGCACAGTAACTTATTCCTTCAGTTTCTTAAACTAACTGCTATTTCACTTTTAAATATTAATGTATGTTCTGCTAATGTTTTGCAATGTAGCCCAATTTCATCTGTATTAGGAGCCTAAAACATCTTTTAACCCATTCTCAGTTACATTATGATTTGCTTCTTTCTTCTCACCAGGCAGTTTCTTATAAACGACATTGGATTTCTCTTCTTCGGCTTGTAAGCTGTCATTTGATACTAAATTATCTCCTAGGATTTAGCAAATTTGTGGAAAAGGATCTAGAAATAGAAGCAAATCAGTTTTACAGGGCTCGTACACATTTCTGCACACAGAAATCAGGTACTTTTAGGTACACTAAATTTTAGTACACTAAATTAGGTAGATAACCTTCGTCATTATGGATTTACATGATCACTATTAAATTTTATTTCTTTTTAAAAAAGGCCATATTAAAATCAAAATCTATTAAAATTTCACAATTTAAAAATATATGTAAGTTATGACATTGATTCTTAAGCAATATTAGGATGATTACACATTAAAAGCTACAAAATATTTATGTCTTGTAACAACAACACTCAACAAAATATTTATGCGTCATTTTAATTTGAAGCCTTTCCAGACATTTTGACTAATTTTTATCGACTTCCTTCTCTTTAACCATCTTTTCTAACAATCAGAAATTCATTTCAATATGCAAACCAATGTTCTGACTAGTTTCTGATTATTTTACCTGTTACTGTACGAACCCTGTTTTATAGTTTGAAACCAATCTAGAAATACAATTTCTATGTCTCTTGATTTTCCAGCTTTTTTGTGCTTCCTCCAAACATCTGCATTTTTTATTAGTTCTTTATCAATTATAATTCATCATTCAAATAAACTGTGCAATGCTGTTTGCAAAATTCCCAGTTTAAATATACTTTTTCTCTGGCTGAAATTACAAAGAACACTAAAATCTTTTAATAATTTATCTTTTTCTTTCAAAGTCTTTTCATTTGGCATTTTTGAGATGTTACAAGTTAAGCAAAGAAAAAATTTTTAAAATGCTTTCTTCAGTTTTTTATTCAACTTTTAAAACGTGCTTCAGCAGAAGATTACCCTTTGTCTGTTTAGTCGATCTGCCATTGCATCATTACAAGTTTTCAAATGTATTCCTTGCTTTTTCTTCAGTCTACAATTATCACCTCCTTTCCATTCAAAGACTCTTAATGTACATTAATGGTAAGAAGCATTTCATAAACTTTTATAATAAACTCTCTGTGAAAATACCTTGCCTATTCCAAAGGGAAACCTTAAAAATGGGATACAGAAATTGCACCTCCTATCAGCTGGTTTCTGAGAGGAAAACCTCGCTTGTTTGCAATGCCTCGACTCTATAGGATTGTTTTTGTTAACCTTAAGATAAGGAAATTCTACCCCTCTAAAATACGATGTGGACAAAGAACTGTGAAAGCACTGTCTCACAGGTGCAGGTACAGTTTACAGGAGTGTAGAAATTTTAGTCACACATGTTTTATTAAAACACTATATTACTATGCAATAAAGATATGACCCCCAATACGTTAAATGGATAAACCATGAAAAGCTTTGAAATGTACAAGTAGGATATTTTCACAGTGAAAAATTTAGTCTTTTGTCAATCAGAGTTTAATATGATACTGATAAGAATCTAATAAACGGTGGTTTTCCTATTGGTTAGTATGTACAGTCAAAAGTCTTTAATCCGGACTCGTCGGGACTTTAGCGATTCCTGATTATAGATCATCAGTTTAAATCTGGTAAGATGGCATGCAGAAATTATAAAATTAAAAATATGAAACCGTAATTTATAAAATAATGAGCAATTATGATCTAAAGGGTATCAAAATTTACAAAAAAAAAGAAGCTTAATATTTATTTGTTTACTTTATTAAACATTTCTTTCAACGTGCGCATGCGTAAAGCATACCTTATGCATAGCCGAAATTAGAAAATTGCAACCAGAAAACTATTTGATTTGTATTCGCAATATTTATAATGACGAGGAATTTGATTTAAATCATCAAAGGCGGAGTACATCGAGATTAAATACTACATTTAGTAAGGAATTATAAGCAGAATAAAATAAAAACATCTGCCCTGAAGATAACGATAGTGCTGACAGATCAACTTCCAGTTCATTGCCGCCGCGACGTCTTCCCCCCCCCCACGCAGAGCAGGGTGAAATTGATAAACAGATTTCGGAATGGTTAGATAAACATAGGATATGACTTTATCCATTTTTTGTAGCAATTCGTTTTTTGTTTGATGGACATCGAAACATACTTTCGTTTTCTAGATCCTTTGGAAGCTCCAGCATCGGAAATTCTATTTGACATAATCGAAAGTTTAAGCGTACTTTTATAAAATTGCTCTTACAGTCTGCTAAAAATAATAAGCCTGATCCAATTCGAAGATTAAGGAACAACGCAATCATCAACATTAACTGAAATAGATAATTAGATAATTTTAGCTTATACCGTCCGTTATACATTAAACGCGCACACGAAAACGTATTCTGCGCTTGCGCAAACGCATATGCGCAGTCGTAAATGTCTTGCGCGCACACATAAAACGCCTACGAGCTTGCGTCAACGCGGCGCATGCGCAGAAAGATTTTAGCTTTGAGGTCCGGATTATGGGTGTCCGAATTAACGACTTTTGACTGAACTTGGTTTGGTTTCTGGAAATTTGAACATAATAAGCAACTCAGTCCATTAACCAGTGAGCCTAATAAGTGGCAAGTACAGTATATAATTTAGAAATATACAATTTAAAGCTTTAAACCACAATTAAATACTAGATTTAGTATTCAAATATTAGTTAAAGCTTCAAAACATGCTCTACAGATTTCAATAACGGATTTAAAGAGATAAAACTGAATAGAAATTAATCAAGAAAACTGTGCTGCAAATCACTCTAAGAAATAAATGGAATTTGCAAAATTTTAAAATGAGTATCATAGTGTAGAATTTAAAAAAAAAAAAAATGGTCATTGCATTTTCTTTTTCCTTCAACATTCAGTGATCAATAATTCTTTTAAAATTACATTATAAAGCCAAGGTCTAAATTCAGATAAATTAAAGAATGATACTTGGATATACACCAAGAGCCAAGAAAATGAAAAATAAGCAGTCCTCCTATTTTACAGGAAGGACTGGCAGCTCAATAATAATGGTTAATTACCAAGATAACAAGATGTTGTTGCAACATTTTCAGATTTGATTTCAGGTGTTTTATCTGCTCCTGTTTGCTAACTTCAGTCAACAATCTCTCATTTTTCTGTTGTGCTGCAGCCTTTTTATTTTCAAGTTTTTTGATATCTTCCTCCATTTCACAGAAACTTTTTCTCAACTTTTTTAAGTCATTAAATAATGAAAATAAATGTGGTTCACCAATCTGAAAAGTTAATTCGAATTCATTCATTAGTAACATATTACAGCATTCTACATCACAATATAGTAAATGATAATTAACACATAAATTGTACAGTAACAAAGCAAAAAATATTCAACAAAAATGATATGTGAGAATGTGAAGATTAACACTTTCTCAACAATTAGAATAAGGATTGGGTTTCTTCCAGGAGGCTAAAAGAAACTGAAAGAAACTTGCAGTATAATTCTTATTTATTTACAATATGGTACGCTGTATTAATGATGACAAACTCATTTTTTTGGCCTTTTCTGAATAAGTGTTCATTTTCTATTTTTATTAATCTTACAGTTAAAATTCAATATCAGAATCCATCCAGACTCACAGATGTAAGCAGATCTTGCACCTAATACAAAAATGTGCATATATGTACATACACATATTACCAAACAGACTTATTGCTAGCATATAAATGAAGCTAAATATACATAAAATGAATACATGCAAATTGCCTAGTAATGCAACAGTGTTATACAAGGTGGTACCGAAGTGGCACATGGGTTTCAGTGCCTCATAACATTTTTCGTAATTTGTTTATCTAATGTTTTCTTTTTCAAGACTGTTAGGACATTTGGGAGATACATCTTGGAGAAACTGTTCTCATCAGATTACAATACAATACTCCATCTGGCAGTATGCTTTCAGCAATACTATTCAATTTGCGATCGCCCACGAAAAGGGGTTGCCATTAATACTGTCCTCAACATGTTGAATGTTTTCGGGAGTTTGAACTGAACGATGTCTACCTATTCTTGGGTGATCGCAGACTAATAGTCTAATAGTACCCAATGAGGTCAGTTGCTCATACCTTCGCCATTTTCCACTCACTGGATTGCTAACCTTAGAGTTCCCAGCATCATAAGCATCCAAGTTGAGTCATGCTTTCTTAGTATTTAACTAATTTAAATTACGCCATACCACCCTGCAGCCAATGGATTACTTGAGAAATCCCACCATTCCCTAAAATAAGTGTTGATTTGCTGTAATAACGCCCAGCGGATGGTGAGCCTTCCAAATATATGCCTCAGTCTTCAACCAACAACAAGAAGATCTGGAAGAAACTTGCTCAGAGATGGCTTATGGAACAACTATTCATCTTCACACAAAATTTTTGCAACCCACCTAAGTTTCTAATTGTGTTGCTCGATTTCATCAACATAGAAGGTGTGGCAAGGCAATGAGAGAGGTGGCACCAGTACCTAAATCAGCTCATGTTCAACAACATGCATTTGGTGCACTCAGCTTTGTCGTCATGCGCCTATGCGTTTGTGAGGTATGATGCAGTGAAACCATCATTAACTCAATAAGGAAAGAGAATCGGTGATTGGCATCGATTCCTGAAGCCAGCGTTTTAGTGTTAAGACACTTCAGCATTAGTTCCTGAGCAGACTTTTACAGTAAATCCATTAGGTACCATGGATAACAGATGAAGAATGTTTGAGACACCTGTGCCAATCAAACACTGCCATGCAGGCTACTGGTTCTGGTAGAAGAGTCAAGTTTAACTCAAGCTCTCTGACTGCTTGTGCCTCTGGCATATGGGGAAAGGGAGTATTATGGCAGAACATTCTCACTGCAGAGAGTGGCAACATCCATTTTCACAGTGCAATACGTAAGCACGCTTGTCACAGCACGAGGATAAATACTTGAATTTTTGAACCAAGGGACTCACTTCTCACCTGTTCTTATATCTCACTTGTTCCTATATAATGACCAATATCTAGTCAATGCTTGACACTGGCTCGTGATTGTGTTCATTTTAAATAATTAGCATCTTACATGATATGTTTTTTACCTCTTAAGTGCTAAATAGAGTTGGTTTTGAGTTGCTTATTGAACTGTGGCCTCTTGACCTACTGATGAGTCTGGAGTATAATGGCATTAAACCATCACTATAATATCATTAGCTAAGAAAGAAACCAATTTCTTCAGACTGATTTTCTCTGCTACACAAGAAACTTTCTAAACTTGTTGAAATCACTATTTCTAAAATTCTAATTAACTATGATGACATTTTCAATGCATAATATCTTGTATGGTACAAAGGAATGAATCATTCCAGAAATTTCACATAAACGGTGTAGGGATTTATATTTATTTTAAATAACCAATTTAAGTTTTTTCCTATAAGCCTTCATTCCCTTAACTGTCAATGCCAGAATATTTAAATTTGGTAGCATACAAGAAGTAATACAAATTCTACCTTGAGGTGAAAAGGTTTAAAGGCCCCTTCCGGCTCTTTACAGTTTGAATCTGATGCCAATAGACAACCATATCTTCCTGCACATGAAATGATTCCTCACCAGCAAACTGACACAATTAAAATGATGGTTTAATCTGAGTTTGAAAGGCATAGCACCAATCCACCTGGACAAATGTATGTTAAACTATAAAGTTCGGAATGGGTCCAGCCAGTGTTGAAACAATGGTTATTTTCCGAGGCTGCACTCTGAATAGGACTTGCAAAAATTCAGAATTTTATGAAGTGAGCTTTGCTAAAATGTATACTAGCAGTATATCATGCAAATGTTTTGCTGCTCTTCTTTAATGAAAATAATACTTACTATGGGCATATAATAAAACCAGATCTTTATCATTACACAAAAATCTAGTGCTTAAAGCTCCCTTTGTTTTTGTACATGTTTTTTAATGGTAAAAAAAAAAAAAAAGTATAAAGGGGAAAGTAACAAAATTGAAAAATGAATGATTGAAAATGAAAGGCTAACTGCATATTTATGAGATTTATTTCTACTTTTCATACAGTACCTGGATATTTAATATACACTCACTTCCAAAAGTTAAGCACGAAGATGTAAAATGCAAAAAAAATCAACAAATACTGCTTTGATTGGACACAAAATTCGGCAGAAAAGTAGCATATGCATTTATGCATAAAACAAAATGAATAATTATATACAGAAATGAAAAGGTTTATTGCTCACAAAGATGGGATCAAACAACAGATTAACAAATGAAAAGACCCTCATTATTTTTGGAAAACGAAAAACAAAGTGAAATAAACTAAAATAAAAAAAAATAACACACCACATTAACTAAAAAATAACAACTTAACATGAAAAGAAAGTACACGAAGTGAAATCTTAATCCTCTATTCAATAAAAGAAAAAAACAATAAATTCCTGTAAAAATGAAATTTTAAAAAAAGAAAATTATTTATTTATATTATATTCATGACGGGGTGTTAAAGTAGCCTATTGTATACAGCAAAGTACAAGAGGTTTGACGAAGGCATGGGAGTGATTTTCCCAATGAAAATTGGCTCGTATTTATGCTGCACATGATAATAATAAATATACGCATTTTGCTTTGCAATGCAAAAAAATCAACAAATACTGCTTTGATTGACACAAAATTCGGCAGGAAAGTAGCGTACACATTTATGCATAAAACAAAATGAATAATTATATACAGAAATGAAAACAATATTAAATTTTTGTAAGTTATCAGATAATGACACACTGGAGACTTAAACAGAATTATGTATAAAGTGAAAATAAACAGCAAAAAATGAGAAAAAAAGGACATTAATAGGGTATGTGATCCCCCCCTTATCTGTATCCAAAGTTTACACCTTGTGACCACGCTTTCAATTAGGTGGTCAACCACCGCAGAACTAAGAAATCGCCATTCTTCTTGTAGAGCAGTTTCCAGCTTAATAAGAGTGGCCAGAGGTGGGAAATGTGAAGATACAGCACAGCTGAGAGCATACCAAAGATTTTCAATGGGATTAAGGTCGGGCGAATATGTTGGCCATGCCATATGCACAATCCCTTCACTCCCCAGGTAGTCATCGACGATGTCAACTGTATGGAGGTGCATTATCGTCCATTAAAACAAAAGTAGGGCCAACTGCTGCAGCGTACAATCTCACAATGGGTTCTAGGACTTCATCTTGATACCGGACAGCCGTCAAAGAACCCTATTTGAAGATGTGCAGGTCGATGTGGTATCCTAATGAAATCCCTGCCCACACCATAATGCTTCCGCCTCGGAATGCATGATGTTTGATGATGTTTTGGGACTGATTGCGTGTGCGTTGTTCACGCCATATCCTTATACGCTTGTCATCTGTCTCCAGAGCAAATCTTGACTCATCAGTAAACATGACATTGCCCCAGTCAGACACATTCCAATTGACATGTTCCCGGCACCACTGTAATCATATCCCTCTTGATTGGACGGATAGAGGAACACAAGCTCAAGGTACCCAGGCATACAGTCTACTCATATGTAATCTTCGGCATACAGTAGCTTCAGATATCGTCTTACCAATGGACAGTGAAACCATAGATGTCACACGTGTGGAGGTCGCTCTGCGATTCCGCTTGGCTACAATAGCAGTATATAGATCTTCATTGGTAGTAGTAAACATTGGGCGACCGTCTACGGGCCTTCAGACAACTGTCTGTGTGGTTTGAAATTGTTTCCATAAACGTGAAATTACAAAATGATGAATGCCGAAGAAAAGAGCAACATCTGTGATCGACTGTCCTGCTTCAATGCGTCCCACAGCATGCCAGCACTCAGAATCTTCTATTCAACAAATTGTACAAAAGTTTTAAACACCTTCTATCAGCACTTACAATCAACTTCTGTAATCCTCCATAAAGCTGGCTTCTTAGAAGACTGCCTTTTTTGCATATTTCTTGACATGGTAACAGCAATTGGCTGTTACCTAACATATTTGCATACTTCCATCTACCTCTGCAGCGAATTGCATCCTCTTCAATTCTGATTGGCTTCCGGAAATTAGCATTTTCCTCTCCGTGCTTAACTTTTGGAAATGAGAGTATTTTGTTCTCTTATAGTAATGCATGTCAAGGAACATTCGTAGGCTCTAAATGTTGCACAAATACATAATTTAATGATACGCTTTAAAAATTACCGGTGTTAAGAATAAAGCTACACATCTGTATAAGTGATCATAAACTACACATGTACAC